TAGTCTTAGGCTTTAGGAAAATATCACATTTATCTGTGGATTATCAAAGGCTCCATGTATTAATTTAATATATATAACTGAATATTAAGATGAAAGCAATTTGCCATTAACTGTCAGTGGCCTAATTTTTACACTCGGCCCTATAGGGCCTCGAACCTCTGACCAGTCTTACACGGTCCGCAACAGGTGACAGCCTTTAAAAAAAACAACCCTCTGGAACATTTCTACCTGTAGGATCCTGTGAGGCCCTGAAAGGTCACTTTGAGTCAGAATCCACTGGATAGCCACTAGTGCACTGTTGTTTAGCAGTAGGATTAAAATTCCTAGCCTGTCAGTTACGACTGTTCTTTAAGCAGTGAAAACACATGTTTGGGCCCAGGGATGATGAGATCTTCTCTCTGCTCACTCCCAATTTGCAGAGGGCAGCGTGAGCAAATATTGATTTCCGACTGGCTTGCTTTCTGTATCTCATAAAGATTTGCAAATGAGTAGGAATAATGAATAAGACATTTTGAGTTAGTCACTATGTATATAACCTAATGACATTGCTGGCACTTCACTTTCTGTGCCTGTGTCCAAACAAACAAAACAGAATCCACTACCATAATGTCAGTTTGGAGTCACAGTAACCCTACAGAACAGTAAAACACCTCCTCAGGGCTTTTGAGGATGTAAATCTCTATGGAAGCAGGCTGCCTCATCTTTCTTCTTCAGAGCTCATTTTGGATTTGAACTACCAACCTTTCCGTTAGCAGTCTAACACTTAACTACTGGTGCCTAATCTCACAGAACCACTACATGTGTTTAGGCTAATCTCTTCATTGTACATGGCAAATAGGGTTTTTCTAGACACCTTTAAATCAATATCTTCTATACGCTACTTAATCACAGGAAAGAGATGAGGCTTTCTATTCCTGTAAAGATTTATAGCCTTGGAAACCCCATACAGCGTGGCTATGATTCAGAACCAACCCAGCGGCAGTAATCAACAGCATACTGCTTTATCAGTTGTGAAATAAGACGTGATTGTCTTATTCAGATGGAATTCTGGTGGCACAGGGGTGACTGCTAACCCTAAAGTCAGCAATTCAAACCCACCAGCCACTCTTCAGGAGAAAGATTCAGAGTCTCCCAAGCCCTAAGAAACAGTCTACTCTGCCCATATCCTCAGGGTCGCTGTGAGTCAGAATCGACTCAGTGGCATTGAGTTAATGGGTATCTTATTCAAAACTTCATACTGAAACTAAGACAACACTCTGGTTTCTTGTGAAAAAAATAATTTGTTACGTGTTCAGACAGCTCCCATAAAACACAAAGAAAGATGGCAGTATCAGAGATGTTAACTTAAACGTGGGACAGGAAGCTCAAGACTTGATGGGAAGGTGCTAAAAGTATTTCTTTCGTAGGTTGGTGCAGTATGATTGAGCTGAACTTCAAGGACGCATTCGATTCATTTGAGAGGCTGAAAAACGAGTCCCGGTGGTCCCAGTGCTATTACGCGTATTTAACTGCAGGTGAGTCCACCGTGGCCTGCACAGCCGCATTTTTGCACTCTGAGCTAGCTCACTTGCCGTTGGTAGGCAGGAGAATAGTGATCAGAGGATAGGAGAGGTTGTGTCAGTCTTACACAATTTTCCATAGCAGCATATGACTGTCTTCTGCTACCAGGTGCTTAGTAGTTGAATACAATGTTCACTTATCCAACTGAACACCAAGAAACCTAATTCTATACACCATCTCCTTTGCCCATCTTCCCCTCTGGGCCCGGTTTAGTTATGTGTTTACTACTATGAAAGGAATGCTTATTATAAGGAATGCTGATGGTTTTTGTCCTAAACAACCTCTACCTCCCCTTACCCACTTCCTTTAAGTCCTATAAAGATTTATTTTTTGATTAGAAGTTTAAAGACATTTTAGGAATTCCACATATCTTTTTAACTGTATTAATATTTTCACTTGGATTATTAGAGCCGAGTTTACAAATTTGTGTAGGTTTTGAGTTGTACACTTCCACCTTGTACAACCCCATGTGTGCCTGAGTAGAGCTGGGTTTTAGCAGGTGATACTTAGGAAGTAGATCACCAAGCCTTTCTTCTTCTGTGTTGTTAAATTCATAAGCTATTTTAGCACTGCATATGCCATTATGAAGGAGCTCTGGTAGCGTAGTGGTTACGAACCTTAAGGTCAGCGGTTTGAAACTTCCAGCTGCTCCGCAGGAGAAAGATGAGGCTTTCTACTCCCGTAAAGATTTACACCCTTGGAAACACTGTACAGGGTCACTATGGGTCGGAACTGACTCGACGGCACGTAACAACAACAACAACATGCCATTATAGAATTCCTAGTGTAGCATAAGCATTGGGTTGTGAACCACAAGGTCGGCGCTTAACAGCATCATATCATTATAGCAGTAATTTGTAAAATGGGTTGATTTTTTGCTCTTGTTTGAGGAGTCCTGATGTGGTGCTGTAGGACAAGCACTAGACTGTTAGCCACAAGTTTGGCAAACCCTATACAGGATGACTATGAGTTGGAACCAACTTTTTGTTGTTAGATGCCATCGAGTTGGTACCGACCCATAGCGACCTTATGCACAGCAGAAAGAAACACTGCCCAATCCTGGGCCAACCTCACTACTGTTGCCATGCTTGAATCCATCGATGCTGCCACTTTGCCAGTCCACCTCGTTGGGGGTCTTCCTCTTTTTTTCTGACGCTCCACGTTACCAAACATGATATCCTTCTCCAGCAACTGAAAACATGAGTCAGAAAGGACTCCATAGCACTTCACAATGAGATAGTTAAAGCTGTGCTGCCACCTGGTGGACAAGAGGGTTCTCTGCACCCTGAGGTATGTAATGTGCTGCGGTGGGTTCCTATTGGAGAAGCCCAAGCGGTTGCACATTTTCCTGCCTTTTCAGCAAGTTTCATGTAAATCTTTTCAGATGTATAAGAGAATCTATCTACTAACAATGAACTCTTCTAATGCAGCCATATAATAGGCTATTTTCCTCATAATTCAAGACTAATCCAATTATTAAATACCTGTACCTTCTTCATGGCCACTGGGATGCTTGAGTCCATGGTGTGGCCATTGTGTATCTTGAGGGCCTTCCAACCTAGGGGAGTTCATCTGCCAGCATTGAACTGGACAATAGTCTGTTCTGATCCATAGGAGTTTCACTGACTAACTTTCAAAAAGTAGATTGCCAGTCCTTTCTTCCTTGTCTCAGTATGGGAACTCCACTGAGGCCTGTCCACTATGAGTGACCTTGAAATGCTAACGGCATAGCTTTCAGCATCATAGCAACAGGCAAGCCACCATAATATGACAAACGTACAGCAAGGTGGTGGCAGTGGTAGTAGGGCATCCATTTTCTTATTCATTGATGTTTGAACAAGCTCATTTTCAATGCACTGGTTAGTCTTCTACTACTCACACTTTGGATGTTATTTTTATTGAACTTTCAGACATGTTAGAGGAAAGTAGCAGCTAATTATGGTACAGCCTCGCTACACCCAAGGCCGCGAGCCAGGATTGCGTAGCCCAGAGAGAATCCTAACAGCCCAGCAGTCAGAGTGTTGTGGGGTCACATGATCTTTGTTGAGCATAGAACCTGAAGAAATAAATGTTCAGTTTGGGCTGTGTAAAAGAACATTCAGACTCCAACTGTTTGGAAATCCCATGACGACACTAGTGGTTGTTTTGTTATGTGCTGTCAGTTGGATTCCAGCTTGTAGAGACCCTTCAAGAAAGAGTAGACCTGCCTCATAGAATTTCCTAGATTATCATCTTTATGGAAACACGTGACTATGTTTTACTTCCTCGGAGTTGCTGGTGGGGTTGAACCACTGGCCTTTCGTTTAGCACATGGGGCCTTAGCTACTGCACCACCAGGGCAGCTATACTAGTTGTGGTGGTGGTGGTGGTGTGCTGTGGAGTCGGTTCCGACTCATAGTGACTCTGTATAGAGTTTCCAAGCCTGTAAATCTTTATGGGAGCAGAAAGCTTCATCTTTCTCCCACGAAACAGCTGGCAATTTTGACCTGCTGACCTTTAGGTAAGCAGCCCAACTTGTAACCACTACACTTGGAGATGATAATCATGAAATACTATAAGCTCTGCCTCTGCAAGGAGATTTCGTGGAGATGATGGGATATGTGTGAGAAACTATACTATGAAGAGCACATGAGGAAGGGAAGGGTTAGTTCCCCCGAGCAATCAGAGAAGGTATTTTGTGGGAGTTGTCACTTGAGTTGGTGGTAAAGGACCGGGTATGTGGTGACAGAGCCAGGAGAGGATGAACCTGGTTCTACTGTTCATGCTGGTCTTTCATAGGCTTGTTAATTAGGTCAAAATGAGAAGATTAAAATACCACTTAGGAAGTTGTTGTTGTTGTTGTTAGATCCATCGGGTCTTACCAACTAATAATGACCATATGCACAAAACACTGCCCGATCCTGGGCCAACCTCACAATTGTTGCCAAGCTTGAGCCCATTGATGCTGCCACTTTTCCAATCCATCTTGCTGGGGGTCTTCCTCTTTTTCTCTGACCCTCCACCTTACCAAACATGATACCCTTCTCCAGCAACTGGTCCCTTCTGACAATATGTCCGAAGTATGAGAGATGAAGTTTGGCCATCCTGGCCTCTAAGGAGCACTCTGGCTGCACTTCTTCCAACACAGATCTATTGGTTCTTTTGACAGCCTATGGAACTTTTAATATTCTCCTCCAACACCATAACTCAAAAGTATCAATTCTTCTATGGTCTTCCTTATTCACTGTCCAGCTTTCACATGCATATGAGGTTATTGAAAATACCATGCTTTGGGTCAGGCACACCTTAGTCCTCAAGCTGACATCTTTGCTCTTCAACACTTTAAAAAGATCTTGTGCAGTAGATTTGCCTAATGCAATACGTTGTTTGATTTCTTGACTGCTGCTTCCATGAGTGTTGATAGTTGATCCAAGAAGAATGAAGTCCTTGACAACTTCAATCTTTTCTCCATTGATAAGAATGTTGTGTATTGGTGCAATGGTGAAGATTTTTGTTTTATTTACATTGAGATGCAATCCATACCAAAGACTGTGCTCTTTGATCTTCATCAGTAAATATTTTAAGCCCTCTTCACTTTTAGCAAGCAAGCTTGTGTCATCTGCATATCACAGGTTGTTAATGAGTCTTCCTCCAATCCTGATGCCATGTTTTTCTTCAAAGATCCCAGCTTCTTGGATAATTTGCACAGCATACAGGTTGAATAAGTATGGTGAAAGAATACAACCTTGTTCCACACCTTTCTTAATTTTAAACCATTCAGCGTTCCCGTGCTCTGTTTGAACAACTGCCTCTTGGAACTTGGAACAACTGCCCCTTGGGAAGTGGTATAAGCTTAAGAGCCAAGTGTTCAGAGTTCTGTGTAGCCTTGATTTTCGGACTCAGGGCCTTCCAAGAAGCTGCGGCTTTTCAAGCCATCTCTGACTTTACTGCAAGAGGAATAGGTGCTTTTGTTCTTCACGGTCTGAGGTATTAGTGTTATAGACCTTTTAAGGGTGATTCAGATATTGATAACCTTACTATTTAGAACACTTTTTTTCCCTATGTGGCTATAAGAAATGTCTCAGCTATCTTACGAGACCTCAAGCTAGGAGCATCAGAAATCCCATCCCCCTAGATTCATTATACAACCTTATGCAAGTTGCTTAACTTCCCTGGGCCTTTACTGCTGCTGACATATAAAATGATGATGTGGGCTGTGCAGAGTAATCCCTGAGCTTCCTTCTGGTTTTGAAATGTTGTATTTGGGCTAGTGCAGACCCCACATCTGGACCAGGACTGCCCCTGTAACTATGAATGGAATTGCCCGTTTAAACATTCAACCTAGTCCCTCTTACTTCCTAGGAGGACTCACTTGACTTTCCCCTCTCCTCATCATCGTCAGAGTCCTGTAAGACTTATTTCTCCTGCCTTCCCCTGACTGCTGGGCCCTGGAGCGTGCTTGACCAAGCCTACAAATGCTGATTACAGGTCCTACCTATGTGGATGTTTGTTGTTGTAAGTGCCATCGAGTCAGTTCAGACTCACAGTGATCCTGTATATGGTTTCCAAGGAGTGGCTGGTGGTTTTGAACTGCCGGCCTAAGATAAGTCCAGTGCTTATCCTACAGTGCCACATCAGGACTCTGCCTAAGTAGAGTGTTGCTCAAATAAAGGAACGAGCAAATCAACATCTGTTACAGCCAGGGAGGGAAAAACAACATGCGACTTGTAAGTAACAAACAGTGAATAGAAATGGATTGTGCCATGGGAGTGGAGATGCAGATGACAAATAGTCAGTGTCATGAAAGAGCGGAGTAGACGCCGCGTGTGAAGCTTGGGGAATGCAGAGCACAGATAAAGCGGTTGGAGTGTGGCTGAGTCTTTGTGTTGTGTTTGGGGTAAAATGAGGCTGGTGTGCAGACTCTCACAATTGTGTCCATCCTGCAACTCTGGCTCCTCACAGCCCCCCCGGACCACTCCAGAGAGAGATGAACCCTCCTTTCCTCTGGATGCTTTCTAAAAGCATTTTGGTTCTCTTCCCTTGAAGACTGTTAATACTATGAGGGAATTTCAAAAAATCTGTGGAAAAGTGGGATTAAAAGATAATGGAATTTTTCCATGGAGGTTTTTGAAACCTCCTCATATATACACTGTAGCTAGGGATTGTGTGTGCATATGTGTGTTGTGTCATCTCTTCAGCTGAATTTTGTATTCCAAATGCAAGTTTGGGGTTTTCTTTTTCAATCTTTCTGGAGACAAATAGATATGTATATGTTTGTGAGTGGTGAGTGGTCATGGACATGTGTGGAGTTGATTCATGGCATTCCAGGGGCTGGGATAGTCTCCTTGCACCATGAAGCTTTCATGACCCATTCATCGCCTCCCTGGTCTTTCTAGATTCCTTTTACTCCACTGTCTGAGCCAGTGGGCCTCTACTACGGTGTTCATGGCTTGTGGCCATCGCTGGGGCTTTTGTTGTGTGCAAGGTTGTCTTCCCAATAAAAAGTCAAGACCCTGACTCCTGTAAGCACAGGGACCTGGGGGAATCGTTGTGGAAATCGTGGGCTGACCACCAGGAAGAGGAAGCTGTACTTTGTGTTACCGCCTTTTGAAAAGATTTGTACCCTCTGCAAATACCTACGTAATATTTTCCAAGTATCATCGAAGTAGGCATCGCTTTTAAAAAACAAACAAACTTTTGTGCTGTCAAGCCACTTCCAGCTCATGGTGACCTTGTGTGTGTCAGTGTGGAACTGCGCTCCATAGGGTTTTCAATGACCGTCATTTTCTGGAACTAGATCGCCAGGTCTTTCTTTCACACCACCATGGATGGATTTGAAGTGTTGACCTTTCCATTAGCAGCTGAGTGTAAACTGTGCCATCCTTAGTGGCATTTCCCCCCATAACATTTGAAAACCTTAACTGTGCCTTCCTACAGTGTGTCAAGGAGCCACTGGTGATGTGGATGGAGCACAGATTGTCTTTAAAGACGTTCAGAAACTCTTCAAAAGGAAAAACAATCAGATCGAACAGTTCTCAGTGAAAAAGGTATGTGGAAGACTATTTATCTGGTGTATTATTTTTGATGGGCATTTATATCCAACGCTACCTGACTTTGGTGGTAGTGGTGGTGGTAGTGTGCTGTGGAGTCGGTTCCGACTCTGAGCGATCCTGTATAGGGTTTCCAAGGCGGTAAATCTTTACGGGAGCAGAAAGCCTCATCCCCCGGAATGGCTGGTAGTATAGAACTGCTGATCTTGAGGTTAGCAGCCCAACTTGTAACCACTACACTACCAGAGCTCCGTTGTTGTTGTGAAGTGCTGTCGAGTTGGTTCCGACCCATAGCGACCCTGTATGGGGTTTCCGAGGAGCAGCTGGTGAGCTTGAACCACCAACCTTGCAGTGAAACAGCTTTGCAGTCTGGCACATTAACCCACAGCACCACTCCTTTTAGTACATCATATTCAAGGTTGAAGACTACTTGCTTTGTGTATTGTAAGCATTGCTGGGAAGAGGATTTCCTTCCAGGTCAGACTATGCTCTGCATAGAAAGTGCTAGTTTTGCTGCAAATAATTAAAGCAGTTTCTTCTCAGTCTTTTTCTATGAGTAGAGGGACATTACTGACTGGGGAGCTAATGAGTGTATCTGGGGAAGGAAGTTTCACCTAAGCTCTACCCAGAATACAAATGAGCAGAGCTTCGGTAAAAGATACAGACTGTCTGATGCCAATAGAGTGAGCATGCTATGTTTTAACTTAATAAAAACCAAAAGTTTCATCAACTATCCCGACAGAGCACCGCAGAAACAACGTTCCTGATTTATTCAATAATTTTAAGAATAAAATTTAGCTGACCTACCTTGTATTACAAGGAGATCTGGTAGTGTTGTTGTTGTTAAGTGCCGTCGAGTCAGTTCCGACCCATATTGACCCTGTACAGGGTTTCCGAGGGTGTAAATCTTTACGGGAGTAGAAAGCCTCATCTTTCTCCTGCAGAGCGGCTGGTAGTTTCGAACCGCTGACCTTAAGGTTCGCAGCCCGATTCGTAACCACTACGCTACCAGAGTAGTGGTTATGAATTGGGCTGCTAACCTCAAGATCAGCAGTTTGACACTACCAGCCGCTCTGCAGGAGAAAGATGAGGCTTTCTTCTCCCGTAAAGATTTACAGCCTCAGAAACCCTGTTCAGGGTCACTATGAATCGGAGCCAACTCCATGGCACACTGCCACCACCTTGATTTTAGGTTTTTCAGTTTTAATTGAATAGACATGTAATAAATGATTTTGTGTCTAAACTAGATTATAATGTGGAATGGAACTAGTTGAGAAAAGTCAAAAGTCATGCATCCTCCCAATTGACCCACTGAGTTACTATTCATCACTCAACTTTTATGAATTGCCTGGGTTTATTTAGACTAAGATGCATCTAGATTCACCTGGATCTTGATAGTAGATTGTGCTGAGTAATGCATGAAAGACATATATACCAATATGCTAAAAACTGGAGACCACTATTTTAAATTACAAGTATTTAGAGAAATTCTCATTTTTAGCTTTGTGGGAGATCATTTGCTGCTGTTAGTTGTGGTGGAGTCAGCTCGAACTCATAGTGACCCCATGTATGACAGAATGAAATGCTGGCCAGTCCTGCATCAGTTTCATGCTCTGATAGATTTCAGTCCCTTGTTACAGCTATTGTATCAGGAGCTGAATGCCTGTCTTCACTGGCCCTCCACTTTACCAAACATAATATGTCTCTCCATCAATTAGTTCCTTCTGAGAACTCATCCATTTATATGAAGAAGAGCATGGCATCAGGATTGGAGGAAGACTTATTAACAATCTGCAATATGCAGATGATATAACCTTGCTTACTGGAAGCCAAGAGGACATAAAATACTTACTGATGAAGACCAAGAACTACAGCCTACAGTGGAAATTGCCCCTCAATATAAAGAAAATGCATGGAAAAAGCTATGGACAACATTGCAGAGATTGAGTATTCTGTAACACTTAATTGTGTTCATAAGAAACCTGTACATAGACCAAGAGGCAATTGTTTGAACAGAACAAGGGGACACTTTATGGTTTAAAATCAGGAAAGGTGTATGTCAGAGTTGCATTCTTTCACTGTACTTACTCAACCTGTATGCTTAGCAAATAATCTGAGAAGTTGGTTTATATGAAGGAGAACGTGGCATCAAGATTGGAGGAAGACTCATTGACAACCTGTGATATGCAGATGATAGAACTACTTGCTGAAAGTGAAGAGGACTTAAAACACTTACTGATGAAGATCAAAGACCATAGCCTTCAGAAAGGGTTGTACCTCAAAATAAAGAAAACAAAAATCCTCACCGCTGGACCAACCAATAACATTGTGACAAATGGAAAAAAGATTGAAGTTGTCTGGATTCACAATTTTGCTTGGGCTCACAATCAATACTCATGGAAGCAGCAGTCAAGAAATCAAATGGTGTATTACATTAAGCAAATCTGCTTCACATGACCTCTTTAAAGTGTTCAAGAGCAATGATAATCAGTTTGACAATTAAGGTGTGACTGACAAGAGCTGTGGTATCTCAAATGTCTTATATGCATGTGAAAGTTGTACATTGAACAAGGAAGACAGTAAAAGAATTGATGCATTGGAGTTATGGTGTTGAAGAAGAATATTGAAAGTACCATGAACTGCCAGAAAAACAAACAAGTCTGTATTGGAAGAAGCACAGCCAGAATGCTCCTTAGAAGACAGGATGGCCAGAATTCATCTCTCATACTCTGGATGTGTTATCAAGAGACACCAGTCCCTGGAGAAGGACATCATGCTTGGTAAAGTGAAGGCCAGTGAAAGAGAGGAAGACCACCAATGAGATGGGTTGGCACCATGGCAGAAGCAATGGAGTCAGTGTAACAATTGTAACAATTGTGAGGATGGCACAGAACTAGGCAGTGTTTTGTTCTGTTGTGTATAAGGTCTCTGTGAGTCAGAATACGACTCAGTGGCACCTAACAAAAACAACAAAGTATCAGATAGAATTCTGTAATCCATAGGAATGCCATTAGCTATTTTGTTAAAGTAGATCACCAGTCCTTTCTTCCTTGTCTATCTTAATCTGGAAACTCCTGTCCATCATGGGTGGCCCTGCTAGTAGTTGAAATATGGGTGGCATAGCTTCCAGCATCACAGCAACATGCAAGCCACCACAGTATGACAGACTGACAGCCAGGTGGTAGGTAAAAGAGGACAGTTGCATCAAGTATGAATTGGGAATTTTTAAATGTTTCAGAAGCATATTTTTATTTGAATTTGTTTTTGAAAACTCTAACCTAATCAGTCTTACTACTTGCAGGCAGAGAGATTTCGGAAACAAACACCAACCAAAGTGCTCTGTGTGTTGGCATCTATTGAAGTGTTATACTTGTGGAAAGCTCTTCCAAACTGTTCCTTTCCCAACCTACAGAAGATGAGTCAAGGTAAAAAAATCAGCTGCATGCATTGGCTTGTTTCTTAGCATTGCTTTCTTCAGTTTCATATTATCTGACTCAGGCTATAGTTACACCACAAATCTGTCATTCTTGGGTAAATGATATAGTGGCAATGAAAATTCAGTTGATTAGGTGATAGGATAAGTGGCCACTTGGTTCTGTCATTAGGAGTATATGGTAATGTACACTTATGATCAATGTCATTAGCTCTGCATCCCTAAAGGTTTCTGAAAGTTTTTCCTACTGAGAGCTATAATGCACAGCATGGTGTTCTCTACCATTGTCAAGATGTAGAACATTTCTACCACCCCTAAAGTTTCCTCTGTGTCACTTCCTAGCCAACCCCCATTCCAAGTCAACCACGATTCTGATTTTAATCTCTGTAGATAGTTTTGCCAGTCCTTGAACTTCATACAGATGGAATCATACAGCATGTGTGTGTGTCTTTGCTGCTGACTTCATTTGCTCAGCTTAATGTCTGTAAGATTTACCTATATTGCAACCTGAATCAGTGTTTATTATGTTTCCTTATGGAGTAGGACATCAAACGATTGCTATCAAATCATTGCAACTCATGCGGTGCCCCTATGTGTTACACATTAGAACTGGTCCATAGAGTTTTCTTGGCTGTAATCTTTACAGAAGCAGATTGGCAGACTTTTCTTCTGTGGTGCTATTGTGTAGGTTCAAACTGCCACCCTTCAGTGCCACAACCAACCTTTGTGCCATCTAGGTTATCAGCAGATGACTATAGCTGTACCACAATTTGTATGTCCAACAAAAATGTCCTGTTAATGGACATTTGGCTTGTTTCTGGTCTTTAGCTCTCACGAGGAAAGCTTCGACAAGCTAAATGTACAACATAAATATACAGGTCTTCTGTGTTGACATACACTAACATTTCTCTTGAGTGACTACCTAGGAGTGTAATTAAAAGCCTACATTGTTAACTCATGTAGTTCAAATAACCTGAGACTATAGGTAAGGAGCTCTGGTAGCGTACTGGTTACAAATTGGGCTGCGAACCTTAAGGTCAGCGGTTCAAAACTACCAGCCGCTCCGCAGGAGAAAGATGAGGCTTTCTATTCCCGTAAAGATTTACACCCTCGGAAACCCTGTACAGGGTCGCTATGGGTCGGAACCGACTCGATGGCACTTAACAACAACAACATAGGTTAGGGCAATATAAAATTATCTTGATAAAATCATTTTTATAGTGTTAGGAAAAATCCATAGGGAGAACAATCAAATCTTTAAATATATTAGGACTTTGTTGGTAATTAAAGAAATAAAAAAACATTGTCTTTGAAAGTCTTAATGGCATGTATTTAAATGACACTGTATAGCCTGGCAGATAACCTACTGTTCTCCACTCAGTAGATTAGGGAGGAGGAAAGGCGTACAGTCTTGTCAGACCCATTTTCTAATGAAGACACTGAGATGCAGAAAAGTTAAGAGACTTGCCCAGATCCCGTAGGAGCAAGTGTAGATGCTGCTGGGCTGAGGACAGCACATCAGGTGGCAAGGCCTTCAGCCCTTGTACACAAAACTGCCAGGAAGATCTCTGAATGATGCAGCTAGGAGCATGGTAACAAGATGAGACTGCTAGGTTTTAATGAAAGTGTAAAGATGCAAAAAAGGAATAGCTACATAGAATGGAATTCTCTTTGGAAGAAAATTCTTAATCACATATAACCCAAACCCACTACCATAGAGTCAATTCTGACTCATAGCGACCCTATACAGAGTTCCCAAGACTGTAAATCTTCATAGGAGCAGATGGTCATCTTTCTCCTGCAGAGTGACTGATGGGTTTAAGCCAACACGTAACCCACAGCACCATTCACTATGTTGTTGTTGCTAAGTGCCGTCAAGTCACTTCCAACTCATAGCGAATCTGTATAGGTTTGCTGAGGAGTGACTGGTGAGTTGGAAGCACTGACCAAACCAAACCGATCTAGAGGTCTAGTGCTTATCCTACCATGCCACATATATGCTGCTTTTATCAAAAGACGTGGAGTATAATATTTTGGCCTTATTCCTGAACCAGTTCATTGCTACTGTGACATTTGTCTGAGTTCTCTACGAGCACATTTGTTTTTCACCAAATATAACGTTATCCATGGAGTCACCCACCCTTATCATCAGCTCCTATTCTGATGCCTTTTGTCCATTTCCCAAAAAGAGGTCCACTCTCAAAGGTTGGGAGTTTGCGAGTGTAGATCTTTCTGAGGCCAATGTAATACAACTCCACAGGGTGTTATGTGTCATGGCCCTGTAATTGGAGCCAGTGTGTAACTCTCCCAAGAGGACTACTTGAAAGGAAACAAACTTTTCTTGGATTTATAATTTGAAAACCCATCCCTGGTTGTTGAAACAATGTAGAATATCTCTCCATGTCTAACTCAGAGGGACTATGAATGATTCTAAGTGTTATTTTAAGGCACTCATGCAAGATCTTATTCTTAGAGCTGTTTAAAATAGAAATATAAGTGTGAGTGGGCTTCACAAAGGTTGTGGAAGAAGTCCATTATGTTTTCATTTTATTTTGTATGTGCTGTTTGAAGCCCCCTCATGTAAGATAGGCAGTAATTGATAGGCACAAGAGTGATTCTTGCTCACGTGGGATTTGACGGGCATTCTCTGAACTCCTTTTTAGGTCTCAAGGTAAACTAACAAGAATGATGTCATGGAGAAGGACGTGGGCTTTGGAGTGAATAGGAAATAATTGTCTCGTATCTTTGTTAAATGTTGATCCAATCTGAGATTTATTCATTAGGTTATATCACTCCCCAATGTTGAGCATAAATTATCCAATTTGACCCACACATACAGAGAACTGTAAAATCTTTATGCAGAAATAAGTTCCAGAAAAAGTTGACATGGTGATACGGATTTTATGCATTTAGTGAACTCTCTGCAAGAAGCCCACCTAATTTTGTGCACTCAGCTAATCAGAGTGCCCATCTGAAACTCCCTTTATCAACAGAACCAGTTAGAGGCTTTATATCCTTGTCTTATGGTTTCATTCAAAGAGCCCTAGTGATGTGGTGGGTTTAGCATTGGTTAGCTAACTGTAAGATCAGTGGCTCAAACCCAGCAGCCTCTCCGGGAGAAGGATGTCTGTTTCCATAAAGATTTACAGCCTCAGAACCCCTAAGGAGCAGTTCTACTCTGTCCCTTAGGGTCCCTATGAGCTGGAAACAACTCAGTGGCAGTGTTTGAGTCGGTAGTTTCCTAACCCTTCTCTCCACCTACCCACCCATTACTGTTCTTGAGTCACCGTGTGCTGACCTCACTGCCTTCAGACTTGCATTCTCTGCCTGGAAGTGCTCGATACCCAAACATTCACAGGCTTCTTTCCTCCAGATCCTTACTCAGATGTCACCCTTTCTGTGAAGCTAAACCATATCTCCAACGCATACTTCTTCCTTGCCTGTTCAGCTTTTTACCTCAGCACAGTTACACTTGTTGAACAAATGTATTTTACCTACTTATCCTTTTCAGTATCTCTCTTTCCCACAAAGTGTAAACTTCTGAAGAGTAGGGATGTTTTTCAGTGTTGCTCATGGCTGTGTTGTTCATGGCTTGGACATAGTGAGGGTGTTGTGTGCCAGGAAGTTGGTTCTGACTCATAGCAATCTTGTATGTAGGGTTTCAGAAGCTGTGTGAGAATCTTTATGGGAGCAGAAAGCCTCATCTTTTCCCCATGATGCGGCTGATAGATTCGAACAGCTGATCTTGTGGTTGGTAGGCCAACTCATAACCCATTATGTTATCAGAGCTCCTGGACATAGTAAATGGTCAATAAATCTCAAGCAAACGAGTGAATGTGTGACTAAACTGCATTCCCAGCCTTAGCATTGCTGTCTAAAGTGTTTTGACTTCTTTTTATCTGGGGTTATGCCTTGCTTTCGGAGTCTTGGTTGGCCCTGTAGGATAAGCACTGGATCTCAAGGATAAGCACTGGATTTCTCCACTTGTCAACCACAAGGTCAGTGATTCAAACCCACCAGCTGCTCCTTGAAAACTGTATACAGGGTCGCAGTGAGTTGGAACCAACTCGACGGCATCAACGAATACCTTCCTCTTGTGGGGAAACACCTGCTTCTATAGAATCATCTTCACACTTAAACTTCCTCATCACTGTTCCAACCCAGTTCTTCCAGTTACTTATTTTGTCACTTGGAAGACAAATGTCCAAAATTTCATGGAAAAATGGAACTGAAAGATAATATAATTTTTCCACCAACTTTATGAAGCCTGCTTGTATATGTGTTGTCTGTACACACAATACATATGCATATACATATGCATTTGTATGTGTACGTACACATATATGTAGTCATATCAAATTTCAATTCCTGACTGATTACCTTCTCTGTCCCCTCCACTGTGGATCCACTCTCCCTCTTTTTCCGCTGACTTGTGTGTTACAGTGCATAGTGGATGCATCTCTCTTCATGTGGAGGCTGCGGGTCTGATACCTCTCTGTGACCAGCAAAGTGCCTCAGACCCTATGTAAGGGTGCCAGCTACTTTTTCATTGAAGTTAGTGTGATTCAATGTTGAGTCTCCTTGCGTCTGTTAGGTTTGACTATTGGTGGTGGTGGTGGTGTGCTGTGGAGTCGGTTCTGACTCTTAGCGACCCGGTATAGGGTTTCCAAGGCTGTAAATCTTTACGGGAACAGAAAGCCTCATCTTTGACCCATGGAACAGCTGGTAGTTTCGAACTGCTGACCTTGAGGTTAGCAGCCTTTGGTAACCACTGCGTTACCAGAGCTCCTTAGTTTGAGTATTAGCGTTTGACTATTCCTTTCTTTGACTAAAGATATTCACTCACGAATGGGGAAGCGATGCCTCCTGAGTTTCAAGGGCAAAAACACGAACTGAACAAGTTATCTTAACAATGAGATATTTACTCAATTGCTGCTGATGTTGAAGGTATTAAGTGAATGTAATTCCTTCCTGTTGTTTTCATTCCTCTTCTCTTTAAGCTTGCCATGAAGTGGATGATTCATCTGTTGCTGGATTGAAGTATTTGCTTCTTGGTGCCATACACAAATGTCTAGGAAACTCAGAAGATGCTGTTCAGGTAAACTGTTGGTATTGTTGCCATGGCTAAAGGAAATAAATTATGCTCTCCTGTTGTACATGTTTAAGTTTTTGAGGAAACTGCGACTGTTTTCCAATCCCAGCGTCAGTGGATGAGGGTCCCTTTTTCTCACAATATGAGCGAAGTGTGGTTTCTCCTTTTGTTTTTCGATTTGATCAGTCAGAAACTCTGATGTATGCTTGTTGACCACTTGAATATTTGGTGAAACGTCTGCTCAGGTTTATTTTTCTTTTATTGGAAAAAAATATATGTATCTGGTAGTGTAGTGGTTACGAATTGGGCTGCTAATCTCATGGTCAGCAGTTCAAAACGACCAGCGGTTCCACGGGAGAAAGATGAGGCTTTCTGCTCCCGTAAAGATTTACAGCCTCGGAAAATGTGTATAGGGTCGCTATGAGTCAGAACTGACTCCACGGCACATAACAACAACAACAGGTGCTGTGGATTAATGCACCAGACAGCAAAGCTGTTTGAACTGCAGGGTCGGCTGTTCAAGCTCACCAGTGGCTCCTTGGAAACGCTATACAGGGTCGCTGTGGGTCAGAACTGACTTGACACCACTTAACAACACCAACACAACAACACATATGCTCTTGTAAATATGGAAAATGAACCAGCATTAAACAAAGCAATACCGCCCACTGCAATGTGAACTTTCTCCACTTGATTTGATTGTCATTTCTCAGGTAATGGAAGGTGTGATGATGGCTAATAGTGGTTTTTAATGTAAATTCAGATTCTTATAGTGGAATTCTTTATGTAAGGGCTTCTGTTTGGGCACTGGCTATTTATCAAAGATAACAGTCTCAATTGGAGAGGAAGGAAATAAGAAGACAGGCAATTCTGAAGGATTCACAAAAGCTTCATAGTTAAATAAACAAAATGATTTGGTGTTTGAGTGTGTGTTTGCTTTCCGTCTCTGTTTGTAACTACAAATTACAGAGGCAGGACTGGAGGCAGGCTAAAAGTTGTATTGTTGTGTGATGCCATCAAGGAGGTTCTGACTCACAGAGAGTCAATGTACAACAACACCAAACCCTGCTCGGGGCGTCCTGCACCGGCCTCACGATTCTGATGTTTTAGCCTCTTGTTGCTGTCACTGTGTCAGTCCATCTTGTTTGGGGTCTTCCTCTTTATCACTGAGGTTCCACTTTACCATGTATGATGTCCTTCTCCAAGGACCGACTCCTGGTTACATTCCCAAAGCCTGCGAGACTAAGTCTCACCGTCCTCCCTGCGAAAGATCATTCTGGCTGTACTTCCTCCAAGGAAGTTTTAGTCCTTCTCTGGCAGTCCAGGCTATATTTCATATTCTTTGCCCATATGTCAAAGCATCCATTCTTCTTCAGTCGTCCTTATTCACTGCCCACCTTTCCCGTGAATATGAGGCGGTTGACACTCCCATGGCTGGAGTCAGGTAACACCTTTGCTTTTCAACACTTGAAAGAGATCTTTTGCAGCAGGTTTGCCCAGTGCACTCTGTTGTTTGATTTATTGACTGCTGTTTCGATGGACATTAAGACCCAAGTAAAATGAAATCCATGATACTCGAATCTGTTCTCCTTTTATCATGATGTTGTTTATTAGTCCAGTTGTGAAGATTTTTATTTTCTTTATGTTGAGGTATAATCTATTTTATTATAATCAGTTTGAAATGCAAAGTTGGCAGTTTAAGCTCACCAGCTGCTCCTCACAAACCCTACACAGGGTTGCTGTGGGTCAGAACCGACTTGACAGCACTTAAGGCTGTACTCCTTGATCTTCATCAGTTAATGCTTTAAGTCCTCATCACTTTCATCAAGCAAGATTGGATCACCCACCATCTGAAAATTGTAGGTGTAAGACATTGTATGACATATTATATGAATAAGAATCATTAATTATCCTCAAATATAATTGGAGACCTTTTTCTAACTTTGGTTGGATTTTTTTCTTTTTAAGAATTATATTCTAGTAGATGCCTGGTGTAGCGCTGTAGGATCAGCACTAGACTGTAAACCACAAGGTCAGCAGTTCAAACCCACCAGCTACTCCTTGGAAACCCTATACAAGGTTGCCATGAGTTGGAACTGACTCGAAGGCATTTAACAACAGCAACAACATCAGTTTTGATTACTCTTTGGGAGAGTTCATGTTCTTAATGGGAGACTTTTATTTTTAAATCCTAGATTATAATACAAGTATACTTGTATTATAATTTTAAATGTATTGTTCAGAGTAGACTAAATTGCACAGTTCCAAATGACTTATTTCAGATCACACATTTAAGTATCAGCGAGATAACGCCACATATCAAGAGTTGGTTCTTGGCTTGTTTGTTCTGTGCTTCAAATATGAAAATGAGGGTGTTGGGACTCTGAGATACAGAGTGCTCAGCAGTAAAGTCAGTAGAGGCTAGTGGCTGGTGGGAGACCTGCTCTGGAGGGCAAGCATGTAAAGAACTTCTGCGAATGGAGGGGAAAGGGTTACCAGATAAATGGATGGGAACCAATGGAAAGGAATCCAGATGAGAAAGTCTGATAAAGAATACAGAAAGGCGATAATCTTCTTTTTTTCTTTTCTGCCTATTGAAGATTAGGATGAGGCTTAAGTTAAGAAAAGGGGAAAAAAAAAAAATGAGTTCCTAGCAATAACATTTATATTGTTTGCTTTCAGTTCTTTCAGAGAGCTGCTAAAGATGAATTGTGTCGTCAGAATAACTTGTACATTCAGCCCTATGCTTGCTATGAACTTGGCTGTCTTCTATTAGATAAACCAGAGGTGAGCTCTTAAATATTTTGTAAATAATCTTTACCACTAGAGATATGCAAATTCACATGGGCAAAGCAGCCTTTATTTAAAATAACTCAATTGAACATATGAGGGGACTTTAAAGAAGTTTTGTGGACATTTTCCACTATCTTTTAATTCCATGTTTTCCACAAAAACTTCTTGAAGCCCTCTTGTGTTGTGCTTTGTTTTGTTTTCCTTGATTTTGCTTTAGAAGAGTCCAAGAAGCTACTAATCCTGTCTTACTGTCTTTAAGGGGATCGTGATAAAGTTCATTGGAGGGAATAAACATATGATGTAGTATGGTTTGATTAGAGGAACACAGAGTTAGATTATGATCTCACCTGGCCATTTCATTTAGTGTATGATACTAAGTTACTTAACCTCGTACTTTTTCCCTCATCTCTAAGGTGGAATGGCAGTGCTTTCCTTGTCAAGTTAAGGATTCTAGTGAGATGAAGGAATGCTGGTGGTGCAGTGGTTAAGAACTTGGTGGCTCTGTAGGAGAATAATGTGGCAGTCTACTTCTGTAAAGATAATAACTTTAGAAATCCAATGGGTTAGTTTTACGCTTTCCTGTAGGGTCGCTATGAATTACAGTCAACAGCACTAAGATGGGTTGAGTTTGTTTTTTATGATCGTGAGAGAAATGAGGGTAATATGAATATAAGAATATATGAAAATAAAGGTATGATTGCTGTGAAATTTTAGGTTACCATACAAATTTAGGAGTCCTAGTGTGGCACTGTAGGATAAGCACTGACCTTCTAACCGCAGTTCAAACCCACCAGCCACTTCTCACAGTCACTGAGGGTCGCTGTGCATGACAACCAACTCAGTGGCACTCAGCAGCAACTACTACAAATTTAAGTTGATGGTTGCTATTAAGATGGATATTTAAGCTAATATAATGAAGTAGTTTTTTGGTGTTTTGTTTATTAAATAGGATTTCAGTAGTGCCTGAATTTAGTTGGTACTTTCTTTCAGAAGCTCATATATAATGTTGGTTTCATTAAATTCAATTGAGCTTTCAAATATATGAACTTTGTAAAAATTAGGCTAACTTAACAGCAATACAGCACTCACTAAATCCTTAAACACTTAGCCGAAAAGACAGGCTTTTGGTTAGAAAGAGTTATAAGTTGAGAGTCTAATTTTACCCAAACAGAAGACATAGTTTTATGAATGTGAGTAGAAATCGCTGTCACTATATTCTTTATTTTAATGAAATTTTTACTCTTAACTTTAGCATAAATACATATAACAGATCTCTATTTCTTATAATATAAATGAAGTTGAATGAACATATCTTCCTGTAGAGTATTTTCTGCATATTTATGTATGTCTATACATACATAAATTCATATATATGCATGTATTAAGTGGTAATATGTATTTTGTTTTCATATATTCATAGACTGTAGCAAGAGGCAGAACTCTACTTCTTCAAGCAAAGGTAAAAATACTGAATCTGTCTCTTTCCAGTGTCACTTTTTATTCTCTGTAGTGTAAGAAATTCTGTAAAATGGTTGTCCAAACTGATAAGTACTTCTGGAAAGGAGAAGAGGTAACTAATTGAATCACCAAGCACTTTAATTTTAAGTAAAATGATCACAGTCATAGAAATTCCTACTCACTAGTTCATCCTACTTTATAAGCACTCTATAGTCTTCAGTGTTTGAGTAGGGAAATACCTTATGATTGTGGTTCTGTAAGATAAGCAGTGGACTGCTAACCTCAAGCTCAGGGATTCAAACCCACCAGCTGCTCCTCAGAAACCCTACATAGGGTTGCTATAAATCAGAACCTACTCGAAGGCGCTTAACAACAGTAGCACCAGTGGTAACTTAGGAGCCCTGGTGGCACTGTGGATTGGAATGCTAACCACAAGTTCAGTGGTTCAAACCCGCCTGCTCCTGTAAAGCTTTATGTCTCAGAGACCATAAGGGACTGTTCTACTCTGTCCTATATAGGATTGCTGTGAATCTGATTTAATTGATGGCAGGAGGGTTTTTGTTTTTTGCTTTGCTTTGTTTTGTTTTAATATTAACTTATATTGCACATGCATTAAGACTGCTGCTTCAGAAATCACATGAGGACATTTTTTCAAGGAGAGCAATATAGATATTTTAAAAATGAACACACAGTTTGAGGTTTGGGAAATTAAAAAATCAAGTAGATGTGAAGCCTATACTGAGAATGTGAGGACTCATACTTTGGGAAGTATAATATTTAGTGTGGTTTATACTCTAGCGCCCTGGGAACACTTAGCAACATATCTTGACTGGGTAACACAGAGACTATGTGTAAAATGATGAATAATACCAAGACATAGCATTCCATAAATCCTTGTCTTTGGTCTTGCAGGAGGATTTCTCTGGCTACGACTTTGAAAACAGATTGCATGTGCGCATCCACGCAGCTCTGGCCTCTCTGAGGGAGCTGGTTCCTCAGTGACAAACCCCAAGTTCCTTCTCTGTCCCTTCCCACCCAGGTTCTGCACTTTAAAGTCAAAGCAGAGGACACAACTCTTGTGAAGATCAGCTTTCCTTCTGAAAACCACCTGTGCCAGAGACACATTTGCCGGTTAAGCTGACGTGTTAAAAACCTCTTCTTTTGAACCTATAGCTAAACAGTAATAATATTAACAACAATAATAAAAACCTGGTGAGAGGGTTAAGTGACCTTGTTCACATATTTTACTTTTGTGATTTATTATTTTTAAAATAAAGTCAAACTAAATATTCAACCTGTGATCTTGTAGGAAAACTTACCATAAGCACACATCTTGACTGGGTAACACAAAGAGATTACCTGTAAAATGATTAATAATATCAAGACATAGCATTTATATTGTGTTTTTGGGGAAAAAAAGTGGTTTCTAGTGTTTTACTTTATCTTCAGAATAATCCTGTGAATTTTGTAGCACAGAAATTCTTAGCCCCATTTAAGAGATAATGCAAATCAGACCCCCAAAAAGAGCTGACCTGTCCAGTTAATTATTCCTCTCATCCGCAGGGTAATGAATAGGATGCAGATTTCCTGACCACCAACTGAATAGTCTTATATTGTAAAAAACATGTTAATAACCCAGAGTCCCATGATTTCCTTATTCAAAGCCAAATGTTCTTCCATTGAAGTTGTATCATCAAGAATAGTTTTCTTCAAATTGTCTACAAACTGTTTCACAGTGATTAGCATTGAAAACCAACCAAATTGAAGGAAATAGAAGATAATTCTGAAACCCAAAGTACAACACTTTTTGCTAGTCTATTAGAAAGCCGAGTCTGTAGACTGAATATTTAATACCTACATTGTTAAGAGTTCTCATTTATTTTAAATAATTTATCTAATTGCTAACTTTTAGAGATCTTTTACCCAATTATGTGAAAGTATTATTCTTAAATGAATATAATTTTTTGTTTCTTTTAGCTTCGTAGTATTTGCTGATGAATGATTTTCTGAGCTTTGTGTTGTCAAGATTTAATCATTTCCCTCTGAGCTCAGGTTATTACATATTATAAAAGGAATTCAGAGTTATTTTTCTAATCCCTTAATGCTAATTTTAATTGTCATTTAATTTACCACACCTGTGGTTTTGAAGAATCTAAATACCTCAGTCACTTTGAAGAATTTTTGCCATAATGGTGTGACTAACTTGGCTCAGTCTAAAGGTCAGATTCTTTGGTTTTAATTTCTTTTGCACTAAAGGGTATTGTTTTAGATTGTCATTTATCTACATATCTTTTTGGCTAAGCATGATCTCATCTTGTGTGATGTTAATATTTCAATTTTTTTTTTTTCCAAAATAAAAGATGGGAAAAGCATCCAGAATCTTGGCCAATTTAATCTGAATCAATATGGTTTTGAAGGAATAATAATAATTTATTTGAAAGAAGTTATTACTCTTCATTGACTTCGGCTAAACTGTCTTCGTGATTCCTCATCTCTGTTGCTGAGCACTTTTTAGTGGACGGTTTCCTGAGTATTTATGCACACTTCTTCAAGATGTGAATTCTGCATGGGTCTTAGATACAAGAAAGGAGCTCTGGTAGCATAGTGGTTATGAGTCGGGCTGCCAACCTCAAAGACAGCAGTTTGAAACTACCAGCAGTTCCACAGGAGAGAGATGAGGCGTTCTGCTCCTGTAAAGAGTTACAGCCTCGGAAACCCAGCGCAGGGTCACTATGAGTCGGAACCGACTCCACAGTACTTAACAGCAACAACAAGAAGAAAGGAGTATTGTCCCATGTTTAGTGAGTGGGTAGATTCAGAAACCAAACAAGTACTTTCTGAAAAGAAAAATCAGTGTCTGAAAATTCTGGATATCTTCTCAGTTGGAGGGAAGACATTATGAATCTTTAAAGTCTGATTATTTTGATTGTCTTTTCATCTGGATACAGTGAAACCTAGGAGACCCAGAACGCAACAAGACTACCTTATTTTTCCAGGTCTCGCAACTTTTCCACTTTTGACAAGGTTCATTCTTACCATTTTTCTGTTGCTCTCAATTAATGGAAAATATTTGAGTCTCCCTTCTCTGACAGGTTTCTGCCACTTTTTCAGGTGTTTCTGGATAGGTGGCATGTCTTTCAGTTATGACTGTAAAACATTCTGAATCATGAGGCTCCTGCTTCAGAGTTCAGACTGACTAGAACTTTTATTCAAGTAGTGTAAGGACGCTATTCATCATTCAAAGACTACATAAAACTCTATTCTTTACAATTGACAACAATTATTTCACTATCTGCTCAAAAATTACTTTTCTTTCTCCATAGAGATTTCATAATTTTAAGCATGTTTATGTTCAATTCACTTAATTATATAGACATATTAGCAATACCAATCATTAGATTTCCTTTAAGTGGTGGTGGTGGTTATGTGCCGTGGAGTTGGTTCCGACTCATAGTGACCCTATACAGGGTTTCCAAGGCTGTAAATCTTGACAGGAGTAGAATGCCTCATCTTTCTCCCACAGAACCACTGGTAGTTTCGAACTGCCGACCTTGAGGTTAGCAGCCCGATTTGTAACCACTACGCTACCAGAGTACCTTAGATTTCCTTTAAGAGTCAAAGCATAAGTCTGTTTGAAAACAGTTTCTCTTAGGTTTGGTGCATAGTGTTCCTGTGGTACAACTGTTAGCATGGTGGTAGCACACGGGGAAGGCTGAGTAGATGGTGATTCTAAAGACGGCAACAACAAAACCAAGAATCACAAAGTTCTCGCTTCAGAGTGAGTATGACTACATCAGCCCATTCAGTTGACTGGCATCTGAATACATTTTTGAGGTGAATAACTCATAACAATTCTCTGGCCTGTCTGCTGTGACTTATCAGACCTATGAGCAGACTGTGATCTGCTTGGGAGTTTGGTCTGGCTGTTTAGCCCGTGTTGATGAAGAAAATAACATTTAAGTGGAACTTTGTGTGTATGTGTGATTTTTATTTCCTACTGCCATCTCTCACTCCTTCCCCTTTCCTATTTTGGAGGCTCTCAAATGGATCTTCAAATTTGCTAAGCGCCAAATATAGTTTTGTATTGGATTGTGCCTATAATGAGGTAAATCACTAATGTATTTTATATATTACAAGCAAATTTTTGTCATTTGACACACTTGGAGGCATGGTTTAATAGTAATGTAATTTGCATCTTGCTGGTTAATATATTTAATATTTTACCTTTACGGGGTTAGGTATCTTTTTTTTTTTTTTTTGGCTCATGTAAGCTGTCTTCTACTGAGTAAAGACTGGTTTTCAGATGTTACTGAAAATGAGATATTTATTGTCACATATTTGTATAGTCAATTACTAACAGGGATTGCATATTGATATTTCTGCCAACTCAGATCAAAGAACCATACATAACTGATTTTTTTAACTATACATGTGCACACATACACAGGCATACACACTCATGGGTGCATTTATTTGCCCTTTGCCGTGTAAACTTTTCTAGTTGATTGTTTTCTTAACAGTGGTCAGAAGTATTCAATTACGACTTTGTATCTAAGAAGATACATATTCATGCAGCCACAATGAACCATTAGTTTTTCTTATATTGTTTTGAATCATGTTGGTTGTATATTTTTTATTCACATGTATATAAAACAAAATTGGTAAATGTAGATTCTCCCAAGAAGATACATCCCAACCAAACCAAGCCCACCACCATTGAGTCCGCCCTCTAAGACAGTCGAACCGCATCAGTTTCCAAGGCTGTAAATCTATGGAAGCTGACTGCCTCATCTTTCTCCCATGGAGCAGTTGGTGGGCTCAAACTAACCTTTTTAGCAGCCCAATGCTTAATCCACTGCATCACCAGGGCTCCTAAGAAGATACATTGTTGTTGTTAAGTGTTGTCAAGTGAGTTCCAACTCAAGAACCCTGTGTTGGGTTTCCAAGGAGCAACTAGTGAGTGTGAACTACCGACCTTGTGGTTCAAACCGACCTTGAGGCCGAGTGCTTATCCAGTGGTGCCACACCAGGCCTCCATAAGATACAAGTTGTTGTTGTTGTTATGTGCCGTGGAGTCGGTTCCGACTCATAGTGACCCTGTACAGAGTTTCCGAGGCTGTAAATCTTTAGGAAGCAGAAAGCCTCATCTTTCTCCTGCGGAACAGCTGGTAGTTTTGAACTGCTGAACTTGAGGTTCACAGCCCGATTCGTAAGATTTAGAAGCTAGGAAATGGGAATATAAAAAGAAAGCAGGGCAGAGGGGCAAGAGAATGGAAAGTTGGTCCCTAAGAGTAAAGTGTCGAAGATCACCAAGTGCAGTGTAACTGGTTTTCTTGTAAAATCCAGCAAGGTCCTGAGTGTTTTCACCTAGTTGGCTTGGATATAAAATAGAAACAACACATTATAGCCTAGGTGTCTTCTGAGTTACACTTCATTTCTCCTTCCACACGTCAGTGATTCTCACATCATCATATGGTACAGAAATAGCCCCGTTCTCAGAGATTCTGATTCAGTAGCTTCCAGAAAGGGCTTGGAAAGGCATTACGAACAAGCTCCTAGGTCACTTGCATTAGGGAAATACTGCTGGATAGCATCATAAATTGGTGAGTTTCTAGTAAATCTGAGAGAAGAGTCATACACAACCATGAATTATAGAGCAAGATTAAGCTCACATTGTGTGTTATAGAGGCACTGAAAAAATACTTGTAAGCTATTGACTCCCTAAAGTCGAAGATTCCTGAACTGAATTTTACAGGATTAGAAGTAGCGTAGTGGTTACGAATCGGGCTGCGAACCTTAAGGCCAACAGTTCGAAACTACCAGCGGCTCCGCAGGAGAAAGATGAGGCGTTCTGCTCCCGTAAAGATTTACAGCCTCGGAAACCCTGTACAGGGTCGCTATGGGTCGGAACCGACTCGACGGCACTTAACAACAACAACAGAATGATGCAGTTAGGTGCAAAGGCTGGCTGGAGGGGGGGTCCCAGACCTTGGGCATGATGGGCAAAAGCACAGAGGTGAAGAACAGCATGTGTGTTCAGGGCCAAGTCTCTGCAGAGTTAAATGGGAACCAAATGGTGACAGATGAGAAAGGAGAAGTACCCAGTGACCACATGCAGAACCTTGGTCTTCTATAGGGGAAGGGTTTGCGGCTATTGGGGAGGATGGAGAACAATGATGAACAAGGCAAATATGCATTTTAATTAGATCACTAGTGACCATAGGAAATGAACACAAAGAGTTCATTGTGTAAATGGGCAGTGATTTGAGAAATCTGTTACATAGTTTCACTAACAATTTGCATTTGAGAATGACTCCGGTAAAATGATCATTGAAGAAATGAGAAAAGAGTAAAATCTTGCCTTCTGAGTTAGATTCTACATTGTACCTAACAGTGTTCAAGATCACTCACTAAGGTTAGTTAGTCTTTAGGCCCAC